AGTCAGTACATTTCTAGATAACTAATGAACAAATGGAAAAAAAAACCTAGACATAAAATGAGAAGTATTTTGAACTTGACAAAATAATACATATCAAAACTTGTGGGGTGCTGATGAAGCTTATATGTAGAGGGAAATCAATAGGCTTAAATGCATATATTAGAAAAGAAAAGAAGCCGAACACCAATGATCTCAGTATCCATCATGATTATCTTGGGATAAAAAAAAAAAACAACAGTAAAATAAAACCAAAGAGAGAAGAAAAAGGAATGATAAAAATAAAAGCAAAAATCAATGAAATTGCAAAGAAATGCACAATAGGGATTATTCATAAAGCCAAAGATTCTCTAAAATAATAAGTGGTAAATTCCTAGTTAGACTGATCAAGATAAAAAGAAACAGCACAAATCACTGATACTGGGTTTGAAAAAAGGGGTATTGCCTCAGCTTCTACAAAAATCACAGAAACAGGGGGTATTGTAACTGGTTTTCTATGCAGACTTCACTACTGTGAAGAGTTTATGCTTATTCACTCAAGCAAGTATTCAAGTTAATTTGGTAGTTATGTTTTTTTGAGGGTGCCAATTAATAAGTTGACATTTGAGTTGCTATACTCATGTTTTCTGAGATTAGTCAGAGTGACCTGGTTCTATCGTGTATGTAAAACCCTGTGCAAACTAACCAAATTGAGTCTTTGCCCATGCAAAGCGCAAAGGCAGACATTGACCCGAAGCTGTCCTGGACAATGGGCAGGCCTGCTGTAATTTCCAGCTGGACCCTTCCTGTTGAATTACTAATTTGTAATTTTCCCCAGTTGTATGTGCACGTAAGATCACCTCCTCTGCACATTTATATCCTGCAATAGTAGGGTGGGCACAATTTTGTCCAGTAGAGGCAACGCAGGAACACAGGGGCTGGAAAAGGCACAGTGGATTCAGGGAAGAGCATTTTTCCGGAGACAGAGGAGGACATTTGGGGGATAGCCGAGGGCAGAAGCTGGCTGGACAAACGGGCTTTGTTCCAACTGAAAGGTCTTGGAACAGACGTCTTTCTGTGTATGCTTAGGATCCACCAAAGGTTTTCAAACACGGGTATGACATAGCACACCTGTATGAAGGGGGGCCCCCCAAACTGTAATTTATTTATTAAAAATTGTGTATTTATTCTGACACGTTTAAACTTCAGTCACCTTCAGAGTTCTCTCCACTTGATGCATTACACCCACTGAGACTTTTCCCCACTGCTCAAAATGTTTTTGAACTCCTTGACTTTGATGCCTTTCAGTGCTTCTGCCATTTTTTGTTTCATCTTTTCCCCATCAGTAAAACGTTTTCCTTTGAGGACTTTTTCATCCTGGGAAACCAAAAGAAGTTGCTTGGGGTGATATCAGGTGAACAGGGAGGGTGGGGCATGGGGGGTCCTGCCACTTTTGGTTAAAAACTGCTGACCACTCAGTGCAGTGTGAGCAGATGTGCTCATAAATCACCCATCATGAAATGGGCAAATGCACTGAAAGAGTCTTCAAAAAACATTCAATGACATCAAACACAGCCTGTCACAATAATACCAGCAGGCACACTGATACAGATGGGTTCCTAGAACACTCACCCAGCAGGGGAAGCCTGTACTACCAGGGGCCAACCCTCAAGAAGATAATTCAGTGTTTTATGGGGTCCTCTCTTATATTTCCAAGAGCACACAAACATGCTTAGAACTTCTCAAGCTAATGCGTATGTGTCTTACTTCCTTTCCTAAGCTATATGTAACAGACATAGGGAGCCCTAAAAATATTTTAACTGATAAAAATGATTGATGGACTGTTCCTTTTATAAGTAAACAAGCCAACTTGCTTTATAACAAAGTGTGGTGGAAGACTCACTTACCTGTTCTCTTCCTGCAGGAATTTAGAGTCTAGTAAGGCGATGACATTATACTCCTAATGCAGAAAGACACTAGACCAGGAGGAACAGGACAGGAATTCTAGGTACATCACCTCCATTGTGGTTGTGCATAAGACCAGTATTTATTTATTTTTTTATTTTAAATATTAAATTTTATTTAGTTACTTTTCAAGTACATTTTTTTTCTCTCTCCCCCCCCCGCCCGGTCTCCCCCCTCCCTCCCATTCCCCCCCCCCAGTCCTCATCTCTGTAAGACCAGTATTTAATAAGCTCCTATTCGATGTCAGATATCTGCTAGACTGCAGGTAGACGGCGATGAGCAAAATGCAGGTGGGCCTTGTTCTCATGCAACTTGCATGTCTGCTGGAGTGTAAAGTGATCAAATAATTACAAAAAGTCACTCAACAAACATGTACTGAGGCTCTAACATTGGCCAGGCACTGTTCTAGGTGCTTCAGATCACGATGAAAAAGCAGACAGAGGACTGTCCCCATCTGCTGTTTACATGAGAATGGGAGCAGACAGAAAATTAACTCTTGACATAATAAATAAGTAAAGTATATGCCTTGTTATAAGGTGATGGATATTATGGAAAAAGGAACAAAAACACAGGCAGGGGGTTTTAGTAATGGGGAGGGGATGGCAGGTAGGAGTTGAGATAACTGGTCATATTAAACAGAACAGCCAGAGCAGCATCCTTGGAAAGAAGACATATAAGAATGCTTACAGGAGTTAAGGGGCTGACCATGAAGCTAACCCGGGCAGAGGAAACAGCCAACACGAAGGCCCTAGTATGGGAGCATCCGGAGCGCTCCCAGGCACAGCCCTGAGGCCAGGTTGTCTGCAGCAGGGTAAGCGGAGGGGAGAAAAACAGGTGTGGGGGGTTGGCCTACCTGTTGTAGGGCCCTGTGGGCCGTTGTAAGGAATTTGGCTTTACCGAGGGAAACTGGGACCCACGGCGGGGGGGCTGGGAAGAGAGTGGCCTGACCTGACTTAGGTTGTAACACAATGACCGGTTTCACGTTACAGCCTGTAACTAAGTCACAATAGGTGTGGCCTGAAAGGGACAGAAGGAGGCCAAATTTATAAAACCTCTGTGTGCACTCCGGCCCTAAGCTTGACCAGCCCCTGCTGCCTCCCCGGGGCATCACACTGAGGACCTGCAGCAGGCTGCTGCGTGTGCACGGGATGCAGGATCTTGTTCTTTGGCAATAATACAGAGCAGCACGAAATCCCAGGCCCGAGTGTGAGTCGCACACTGGAAGTGTCCTAGCAACAAAAACACACACCTTAGAAAGGGCTGGAAATTGGTTCTTGGGGGACGAAACACTGTATGTCTAAAGCACAGGTTACCTATGGCATGTGAACAGCCATCTAGTATTTCTGCAGTATTTTAATTTCATGGAGAAGATAACTAGAAAGGTTCTTTGGGTGCTGGGTGGGGGAAGGGTGTGCTCATGACAAATAGAAGTTGGAATATGCTGACTTAAAAAATGCAGTGAGTTGCAGAAGGATCACCGAGCTGGAGGTTAAGAAAGTGCAGCTGAAATCAGCTCATTCACTGTGTGAACTTGGACCACTCGCTTCCCCATTCAAGGTTTCAGGATGTTCCCAATGTAAAATGAAATGTCAGACTGAATGGTGTCTCAGGTTTTCTCCAGTGATAAAATAGGAGGGGGAATTGAGAGGGGCTTCATTCAGTTATAAATGCCCGATTCTGGTGCCTATAGTAATTGTCAGGTGTTGGGACCCATCAACCCTCACCTTTCAATAACATAAGGTGTGTCCATAGCCTTTAAAGTTTGTCTCTGGCCTCTTTTCTTTTGTCTATTCTTTGGGCAAGAACTCTAGAATTCCCAAAAGCCAGAATTCTAGAAATACTGTGTTAGTCTGTTCCATGAGATTTCGGGATATACTGTTGGAGCTAAGGGGACAGTAGCGTTCTGTCAATAGATACTCAGCAAACGCTTTGAAACCTGTCACTGGAATTGCACTGCTTCTCAGTCTTCACAGGATTCCTAGACATTAAAGCCCCTTTACAATGTATCTGGGCTGTCACTTCAAAGAGAAAGATGTAGTGATGTGGTGACAGGAAGTAGGAATTAGCAGATCAAAGTAGCAGATTGAAAAACAAAGCCTCTACATTCACAGCTTCTGTACATGACATTCACTAGGTAAATCTGTGCAGCCAGTTCTTCGCTGCTTCTGCCAGACCTGGGTCAATTGCACCAAGCACATCTTGAATGGATTATTCTGTGTCCAGATTAGGGTTTTGGTTTCTCTTCCTAGACCTTCAACTATATCTAAGTCTCCTGTGAACAGAGAATGTATCTTCTAACTCACTTGTTTAGTGCTCAGTTCAATAACTTGTTTATAAAAAATCTTAGTGATTGTTTCTTGACTGCGGTGAACACCCAGATAAGAAGGAAAAATAAAACTCTCAGCTGTGAATCTTGGAGTCCTTCATTTTTGGTGGCCGGCACTGATGTGCCCGTGGACCACAGCATTGTCATTTTTTCCTCCTGCCATTTAATCACCTAGTGCTGTTTCCAGAAAAGAATTGCAAATAGAGTTCATTACTTAACTGGAGTACACATGACTCATTTATCACTGGGTATCAATACTCAGTTGTTTCATGCAGTAGTGCATTTGGCTGTAGAGAGATGAAGAACTGCATTGTGAAGAACTGCATTTTGGGGGCTTCTCGACTGCTGTCAACATAGGGGGGCACTTAGAAAAGGGAGCTCCATCTGGTGACAAATAGTTAAATATTTAGAATTTTCTGTGTGGAATGGGAAGAAACTCAATTCTGCACCTAGTCAATCCAGGGAACCTTGGAGTTACTGGCGATGAGGAAAACCCCAGGGTCTGGCTGAAAATACTCTGAGGAGTAAGGAGTTAACTGAGTGTGTAAGCTTTATCTGGTGGCCGGTGAACTTGTGGTTTGCTGATTCAAGTGTCAGGTAAATGATTGTTAGAGACCTGTCATTGATAGCCTTTGCTAGTTTCTGCATTTCAAAAGCCTGCTGCTTCCTCTGCAAGCATCCTCTGTCCCTTTACTCACTTCAAATGTACTCAGGTCTGCTTGCAAAAGGATCTATCAGACGCATAAACATGAATGACGAAGACTACAGCACCCCTTACGACACAATCCAAAAAGAGAGGGCATATGAGGTTCCAGACCAGCCAGCAGAAAATGAAGGTCCCCTTTATAATAACATCCATGAAGACTGGAGGTCGGAAAGTAATTTATATGCCACTGAGCTGGGAACCAACGGATACGACTTCGTATCGGTTTATGCCGTTAGGAGTGAGGAGAACAGCATGGCCTATTCCCAGCCAGAAGACAGAGGCTACCTCCTGCCTGATGAGGTAAGTCCTGAGGCCCAGGATCTTCTACAAGCTGAGCCCCAGGAACAGAGGGACATCATGATGGGAGGAACTCAGCACCAGGAGACAAGCCCAGAAGAGCCACAGGAGAGCAGAGGCATGATGGAGGAGAACCTGTCTTCTCCTTCAGCCTTCACTGCGGAGGAGAGCAGTGGATATTCCTCCACCTACTATTCTGAGGCTGATGACTTGGAAGAAAACCAATCAGCTTTCAGAAGCCCTGACATCACCCTCTTTGTGAAGGTAAGGACTGCCCCAGGCAGGCACACTGGCACATGCGAGGTGGCACGATTGACACTTCATTTCGCTCTGAGTGGCGGGGGGAAAGATGCATGGTGTCAGGGTCCTCAGAGCTCAGTCCATATCCAAGAGCACGACTGTCCCAATCAGTCATTCCAGGATTCATCCAGGATGGCTCTCAGAGCGGCAGCACCTGGAAAGTGCATTTCAGGTGCATGTCTTCTTATTGACTGTTATGTACCAATGGCAAAGCATTTTTTAAGACTTCACTTATTATGAGTGAGCAGAGATTGCTGCTTCAGTCCTTACCTTGTTACAGATGTTAGGTACATTTTCCCATCTGGTAAATTTCCTTCAGCAGCATGATTTTTAAAACCAAAACCAAGTCTTGTGAGAGGAAGTCAAATCTACAGTCAGGTCCTGGAAAATCCTTCTCAACGTTTCTCAGGTCGCAGACACCTCAGGTAAATGGTCAATAAACGCTACCTCTGTCACCAAGCTTGCCCTTTTGGTACCAATATAACTAGAATATCTGATGAAGTGCACTAGTTTCGGTAGTAGTAAGACCTTAACTGTCAGTGTTAATGTTTAATGCTTATGCTGTTTAGGCAAAGACATTCGGTGATCTTTGTATATAATAAAGATTATGGCTATCAATATTATTAAAACCTATCAGGGCTGAAAAAAATCATCCTAATTAACCAAGATATGGCAGAACATTTTTTCCAATGTTCACCCTCCACGGTATTCACATTTACATGTTTTTAAATATGAACACAACCTATCAGTACTACTGCTATTTTTTGCTAATAAAAATGATTCCACTATAACCTACAAAACTCCATTTCACAGGCATTTCTCTTTTTGCTGGTTTCCAAAAACTGCTCTAGCGAAATATACTTTATTTACTAACTTAATACATTATTTTCTACCCCGTACTTCTCCCTAGCAGTTTTGTGTGTACATTGCGTCTCCTTTATTCTACCATGAGGCCTTCTTAAAAAGCAACTAGCAGCGTGTGTGGTCCGTACTTGGGTATCCAACAGAGCCTGCTTGTATATGCTGAGCATAGGGAAAGATAGGGCCCTAGTTCTCCAGAAATCAGCGTGGTGCCAGAGACACCACGACAGGGTCCGTGCGTGCGTGGCCGATGCCGGTGGGTAGAGGAGCCAGCAGAGTGCTGCGGGGGGGCCTGGGAGAGAGAGGGCCTCCCCGCTGTATTCATTTCTAAGAAAACCCCGTCTTTTAAAAGTGAAGACTAGGTATGTTTTTTTCTCAGGACAGAAGTATCCATGCAACCTCGTGCAACAGCCAATCATCATCATCACTGGCACCGAGACAATTATTTATAAACTTGGCAAAGTGTTGACTTCACCAGAAATTAGACTATCACTGGTGTTGAACCAAACAGACAAACAGAAGTTGGGGAGAAAAGAGGCCCTGGCATCTCCTTCCGTTCCAGCAACAGGAGAAACTGCAGGATAGTGCCGCGTGATTCCCAAATTACTTATGAACTGTTGCACTATAAAGCAAATGCTGCGTTTAACTAACTTTTTAAGCTGACATTCTGTTTAGTGTAATTACGCTAACGAAGACGTTACAGAGCGTACCGTAGACCTCAGGCCCTGTGTGTGGTCTCCTTTCTAAGACTATTCAGCAGAACACGCAGGAAGCAGAGGGACAGTCGCAATCTCTGTTTTTAAGCGCCACCCTCATCCCCCTTGCAGATCTTAAGGAGGTTGAATGGGAATATAATATATGGAAATGGGTCAAACAGGCCATTCTTCTCCCACGGGAGTGGAGGGCCTGGGTGTGCCCTACTCAGGCTCCTCCTCCCTCCAGCAACCCAGGGCAGGGTCGGAACCCCCAGATATGATGGGGCTTGGGTGTGCTCCCCATCTTCTGTCTGTTTTGGTAACAGAGAAAGGGTAGAAACAGGGAGAACAGTTTGAAGGCGATTGAAAAACTAGGCAAGAGATGGTGGTGGATTGGCCTGTGGTGACAGCGATGGAGATAGTGTGAAGTAGGACTGAGATTATTTTGGAGAGAGACCCCAGAGGTTTTGTGATGGATTAATGTGGAGTATAATGAACGAAAAGAGCCAAGATTCACTCTAGGGGTTTTAACCACAGCTACTGAGTGGGAGGAGGTGCTTTTCTCATTTCAGCTGTGGACCCCTTGTCCGGGAACTTACAATAGAGAAAATGTGCTCACACATTCATTCATGCATCTTATCTTCTCTCCTCCCTCCCTCCCTCCCTCCCTCCCTCCCTCCCTCCCTCCCTCCCTCCCTCCCTCTTTCCTCCCTTTTTCCTTTCCATCCATCCAACATTTACCACTTACTTACTACCTGACAGGTGCTGGGTCAGAGATGAACACCACATCTTAGGTCCAACTCTCCTATGGGGAAGACAGAGAAACACAGTTTTTGAAGGCAAGAGGAGAGAAATAATAGCTGCTTGGTCACTGGCTGAGATCCAGCAAAAAACAAAACAAAACAGGTCTCTAGTGGAAATATCCAACCATGTTGTAAAGCCACCAGGAGGAGCTGGGTCAGCATTTGTTGTGTAGGATCATGACATTTGTGCTGCTGCTTTCTCCTAAAACTGAGGGACCTACAGACATTTTTCTCTTTGTGGTTGTGTGTGCACGGATGAGAGCAGAGCGAGAGAAAAAAGAGAGAAAGGGGAGGAGAGGAGAGGAGAAGAAAGGAGAGGGGAGGGGAGGGGCGGGGAGGGGAGGAGCAGTCTGGTATTTCACTTATTGCAAAGAAAAAAGTGTTGCGATGATGGTTACTGCAAAGACAAACTGTACAAACCAACACGTCGGTCATGCACAAAGCTGATGCCATTCACTAGGGTGGGCAGTATACGCTGCAGAGCAGGTTTTGAAGTTGGGCTGCATGAGTTTGGCTTAGCAGGTTAATTTCTGTTAAATCGTGTAGCTTCTCTGAGCCTCAGTTTCTTTATTGGTAAAATGAATGTTGTAATAATATGTTCCTCCAGAGGTATTATGAAGATGAAATAGTAAGATGAAATGCTTTGTGAAAGGAGATCATGAGCAAAGCAGGGTGTAAGGGAATGGATATGCAAATTAAAAGGCCTTCATGTCCACCCTATGAAGCAGGACCTGGCAGACATCCACCAAACTTCATTTCTCAAATTAACCAAATATTTAAATATAAAAACATTGTACATAATAGAGTATGTATTTTAAAGTTATTCTTTCATTGAACTAACTCTCCAATATGTCCAAATATTTACATCTTTGGCTTCATGCAGACAAATTTCTGGAAAAAGTTAGCAAGCATCATATTGAGTTATGTATTATATACACAGGGTCCAGCACAAATGATGCCCCTTTTGTATTACGAAATCATAAACATGGAATTTTGTAACATAACAAAATTATACTCAAACATACCATTTGACATTTTAGGTGAAGATGAAATAGGTTTAGTATAGTAACTGATATATAGGAAATGCTCAATTTATAGGAGCCTACATTATTATTACTAATAGTGATAAATTTGAACCATACATCAAGTAATATTTTTATTTGAAGCACAATCAATAATTGTTAGTAGACATTCAGTAAATGCTCCATTATGGATCCAATTGGATCAGGACTGGAACTGATCCTAATATGAGCAGTGGTCAGAAATTCTAACACAACCCTGTCAATAATTTGCTGTGAAGCATTTCTGGACCTAAGTTTCCTCGTTTCTGAAATTCAGTCCCTTCCAACTTCTATAATCTTTGATTTCTTTGAAATGCAACCTTTTCTGACTCTTACAGTCTTTCATTTTTTCTAGTCTCCCATGTACGACACCACCTGTTATCCACTGTGGGAAACTGCTCAAGCACAGTTATGAGCTCTAGGTTTGGTGGGAAGGGCCACTGTGAGACCCACCCTCCTTTCCACCACCAGCTCACACAAAGCCTGCCCCCTGGGAAGCACTCACAAAGCTTGTCTCTGAGTAGACACTCACAGGGTCCCTTGCAGGGCTGCCAAGGTTCAGCACTGATCAAATTCAAGGGGCATTCATTATTCACAAAAAATGTAAACAGTGCCCCTCTTCTGAAGTCAGACAAATAACAGCCCTGGTTAATGTTTCTTAGCCTCATAGCCTGGAATCTTTGTTCTACAGGGCAAACCCCTATAGTTTAGCTCAGCATAGTGGAAGGTGTCACAGAACAGTCAATAATTATTATCGCTATGGCACAGAAGCCTGATGCTGTTCCAGGGCTCATGGCATCCAAAACAGGGTATTCAACACAATGCATGGGATATTAGAATATTCTAATTAGAAGTTTGAAATTAAGCGACATTTCACCCTGGCTGAGTGGCTCAGTTGGTTGGAGTATCATCCCATATACTGGAAGGTTGTGGGTTCAATTCTTAGTCAGGGCACATACCTAGGTTGTGGGTTCAGTCTCCAGGTGGGACATGGGTGGAAGGCAACTGGCCAGTGTTTCTCTCGCACACGGATATTTCTCTCTCTCTCTCCCTCCTCTCTTCCTCTCTCTCTAAGGTCAATAAATATATCCTCAGGTAAGGATTTAAACAATTAAGCAATATTTCTATTTAGTTTTATCAAGTCCTCTTAAAGGTCAATATTTTATATTTTTCAGAATGTGCAGTGTATTCTTATAGTAGCACATTAGTATAATTTGTAAATGAATAAATATACATATATTGTGAGTAAATGCATAAGTTTTTATTGACAGGGCTGGTCCATTTTTTTTTAAAGAAATCTTACTGGCTCAGAGGCTTTTGTGTCACTGTCTGTGGGACTGGGGCTTTTTCCTTGACCAAGATCTGATGAGAACAGGTCCCCTCACCGCCCCCCCCCCAGGTATTTCCTGGGAATTTTCATAAGCAGCGCATTTAGTCCATTTGCCTTGGAGATAAACAAAAATTCATAGTAGCAGGGAGAAACGATCCCATCCCATTGAGGAACTGAGGGGAAGCGAAGCTGGATTTGGGTGTCGAGAAGTGAC